CTGCTTCCTGGAATACTCTCCCTCCTTGGCTAACGAGACACTGTACTGTCATGGGATCCCTTCCACCTCACTGTTCTTTTTTTGGTCTCCTTTGCTTCTTCTCCCAATCTGTCAACTCTCAAGTTATTGGGATTACTTAAGATTTGGTCCCCCGTTCTCTTGTCTACCTTGATGTCTACGTGATCTCAATGCCAATGAATTTAAATATTTAATGCTGATGACCAAGTATATCAATCTAGTCCAGACCTCTCCTCTGAGCTCCAGACTCACAAATCTGTTAACTATTTCCAGTTGCATCTTTGCCCTTGCCTTCAAATAAAGCCGTAGGAAGGTTTTGAGCAAGAAAATCTGACTTTTACTTTTACAGGATCACTCTGCCTACTCTCTGAATACACTGGGCAGGCAAGGGCAGAGACAGGATCAGTGAGGAGGATATTGAAATAATCAGACAAGAGGTGATGGTGGCTTGAACCAGGTGGTCTTGGGAGGAAGTGGTGAGAAGACCTAAGGTTCTAGACATATTTTGAAGGTGGAACTGTCAGGATATGTGCATGGAATAGGTGAGATTTTTGAGAGAAAGAGAGAAGCCAAAGATAATATCAAGATTTTTGACCTAAGAAACTAAAAGATGGAGTTTACTGAGATGAGGGAAGGAACGGGTTAAGGGAAGAAAATTGGGAGTTTGGTTTTGGGAATGCTGAATCTGAGAAGTCTGTTAGACATCCAAGTGGACATGATGAGAAGCTATCCTTTTATTTCCTCAATACACCAAACAGGCATGATTTTTCCTTATGGAAATTGTTGCCCTTCCCTCAACAACTTATTTTGTTTAAATGTTTGGTGAGCCCATCCTTTTCTGTACATTTCACCAGGTGATACTCATCGGGATATAATGACACTGGTCCCCTGGGGTTATTCTCATGGAGTGGGGCCACATTTTAAAATCCCTCTCGTTTCCATGACAGTGATTGCTTTGTTCCCATTTCATTTTAAAACTTCTGTTGTGTTCACAGGGTAGCCAACCTCACAAAGCATGCAGATAGACTCAACATAAACAAAGAAGGGGTGGTGGGCCTGCGGCAGATGAGCACCCGTGGTGGGGTGCCTGGAGGAGCCGTGGCAATGAACAAAGTAGAGGTTTTGAGGAAGACTGAAGGCTAGGGCCTCCCTTAAAAATTGAAGGGAATAAAAGGACCAAAACTCTATAGAAAAATGGGAAAAGGCTAATATTTACACAATTCATTTTTTTCCATTTACTTTCTTATTTTCTACCTGTTGGGTCTTGGTTCTATTTTCTGGGAGATTTTGTTAATCTTACTATGAGATGTTTTTATTTTAGCAATCACTTTTTTTTAACTTTCTAGAACTTGTTTTTGTTTTCAGATACTTCCTTTTTCATAACATTATGTTCTTGTTTTATAATAACAATGACCTCTAATTTTTCTAAATATTCTTATTAGAGTTTTTAAAATTTAGCTTTTATTCCCTGATTATCTATGATTTGTTTGGGATACTTTTTTTCTTGTCTTGGTCTTTCTCTTTCATGTAAAAGTTTTTTTTCCAAATGTTTGATAATCCTTGCCTGTCCATATTTAAGAATGTAACAGTAGACCAGGTAATTAGGATTTTTCTGTGGGTGGGTCTTGTGTGCCAGTTTACTTTAGGGTTGTTAAGGAGTCCTCTAAGTGCTAGAATGAGGCAGGCTTTTATCTCAGATAACATCCACAATAATTGTTCTAGTTAATTCCAGCTGCTTTGTGCATTTCCTTTTCTCCTTGCAAGGTCAGTATCTAGCTGACAGACCTTCTTCCAGCTGCTGGTGGTGGTGATGGTAGTGGATGGGGTATTCACTGTAATCCACGTTCAATTAACTGCCCTGGTTTCAGGCCTCCAACCTGCCTGGCTCCCCAGGTTGAGCTTCTACTGAGCAAATCAGTACCTCCTCAGCCGTCCTCTTTCTGTCTTCCAGGTTGTGGCAACTCTGCTCCACTTCATTACACACCATTCTTCTAGTAACCTTCCAAAATCTCTTGAAATTTCTCATCTGCTGATGGTCTCCTCTGAGTTCTCTTCATTGTTGCGGATTTATAGCTTTAAAAAAATCTCTTTACTGTAATTTTAGTGGGATATTGAGAGAAGAGACAAATATGAGCATGTGCTTGGGTCCTGTCTTGAATCAAGACAGTGACCGGGCTTTTGTGAATAGGATCTCTTTTCTTACTTGTAATAGTTACTCAGCTGATTCTCTTGGATGTTCCAGGTGCACAATACACAATAATATAATGCATTCCATAATGTTAAATAATGGCTCAGCAGAGACCATTATCTTCTTTTTGACTTGAATGGATTTTTTTTTTTTTTTACCATTCCATCCCTTTAATGTGATCTTCATTGTTGGGCAAGTCAGATTCATTATTCCTTTGTAGGTGACAGGAAGTTTTTTTTTTTTTTTTTTTTTTCGGATGCTTATAGGCTTCCTTCCTTATTCTTGAAGTTCAGGATTTCACCAGAATATCTCAGCATTGATTTTTCTTTTTAGGAATTTCGGCAGGATAGGAAGGGAAGTTTTATGAACCTGTGCTTACGATACTTCCTCCCCAGAAGTCTCTCTATTCTTTAAGCACCGCTCCGGTATCTTTTTCACTTGTAGTGTGAGCAGCCTGAGGTGACTTGGGTTTAGTTGGATCTTACCCTTTTTCTCAACTCCCTCCAAAACACTTCCAGTTTCTAATAAAATTCAAACACTCTGGATCTTGTACTCTCTCTGAGATCCTTCAATTACAATACACAACATGTGAGAACACCATCCTGGAGGCCCTAGCCTTCAGTCCCCCTCAAAACCTCTCCTTGGTTCACTGTCACCTCTCCTCCTCCAGGTCCCCACCCCACGAGTACTCACCTCTAGCAGGGCCACGGCCCCTTCTTTGCTTACGTTGAGTCTCTCTACAGGCTTTGTGAGGCTGGCTACCCTGTGAACACAACGGACATCACCATGTGTCTGAGTGATTATAAACCTGCCTAAATGATACAATCTCTTAATATTATCAATCACCTTTGTTAGTGTCCCATCGCTTGAGGAAAGAGGGTGCTCCAAAACCAATTAAAGCTTTATTCTGACTTAAAGGTCTGTTTACTTTGTCCCCCAAATCCAAAGACCTAATCTCCCGGGATTCTCATTCTTCTTAAGACTGAGAGCTACTTTGCTGGAGCCAGGACTATTCTTCAGTAATGTTTTCCAGGATGAGTCCTGTGAAACTCTTATGTCCACTAGGTCACGGTAAGTGTTTTTGGAAAAAACGAAAGAATCCCAAGGTCAAGTATATTCAGAATATACTACAAATTATGTCTCCTCTTGGCAGTCATGGATTCTGTGTGTGTGGGGGGGAATTGTTTATTTAAACTAATTGGCCATGTAATTCTTTTTTTTTTTTTTTTGTAGAATATCTTTGGAGCTAGTGTTCCACAGAAAATCATCTGTGAAATACTGTTTTATAGTAATGTCTATTACAGTTTACTGACAATATTTTCTGTCATCCCTCAGATTTCAGGTCAGTCATTCTTTTACATGAAACGTGAACCCTCTGAAAGTTGGGATTTCTATGTATGGAGTACAACCCTGCCCTGAAGTATAGGCATTCTGTGCTCACACCACCTTCACCTGATGGAACAAATGGGGGACTTTCCTGGACTTCTACTTGATTTAGGTTTACTTTTAACATTTGCTTAACATCTCGCCACGCTGAACTGTTGTTGCCTGTAACACTCCTGATAAAGCTGTTTAGCTTTGTTATTTTGTCTTGACTCAGATTTTAGTCATCTGTTTACAGAGTCATCTTGGGAATCCCATTCACTCTCTCAGCTTCAAACAGCATCTCTGTTCTGGAACTCCCAAATCTATAACTCCTGTTCCAATCTTGTATCTAAATTCTAGTCCCATTCATCTTAGCACCTTCAGTTTTATGTTTCTTCAACTCAGATTAGCCAAATTTTGCTCAAATTATCAGCTTTTCCTTGGGGGGGAACTATGCATAAGCACTGTGGAGCCTGCTGTGAAACTTCAGCATTCACATAAACAAACTACAATTCAGACAACCCATTTTATTGTGATCAGTTTCAATATAAATGAATCAAAACCAAATCCAATATCATATCAATCCTGCAATAAATTCACTGGATTTAAACCCACAGTTTAGAATCATACTACGAAAAAAAGAAAGTAGAGTTGATATTTAACAGCCACTCCATCCTTTTAGCTTTGAGAACAGTACTGGAGGGATTTCCTGCTGTCTGAATTCAAGTTGGGATTTCAGAGCTAGCTTAGCATTTGGAGGAAAAAGATCATTTAAGATGGTAGGAAGAACAAATATCTCTTTTTATCAATGGATAGAAAATATGGGCTGGCCCCGTGGCGTAGTGGTTAAGTTTGCGTGTTCCACTTCAGCGGCCTGAGGTTGCCGGTTCGGATCCTGGGCGTGCAGACATACTTACTGCTCATTAAGCCATGCTGAAGTGGCGTCCCATATAGAAGAGCTACAACCCTACAACTATGATCCACAACTTTGTACTGGGACTTTGGGGAGAAAAAAGAAAATGAGGAAGATGGGCAACAGATGTTAGCGCAGAGTCACTCTTCCTCAAAAAAAAAAAAGGTAAAAAAAAACCTTAAAAAAAGAAAATATAACTGGTGATTTTTTTTATTTTTTATTTTTTTGTGAGGAAGATCAGCCCTGAGCTAACATCCATGCTAATCCTCCTCTTTTTGCTGAGGAAGACCAGCTCTGAGCTAACATCTATTGCCAGTCCTCCTCCTTTTTTTTTCCCCAAAGCCCCAGTAGATAGTTGTATGTCATAGTTGCACATCCTTCTAGTTGCTGTATGTGGGACACGGCCTCAGCATGGCCGGAGAAGCTGTGCGTCGGTGCGCGCCCGGGATCCGAACCCGGGCCGCCAGTAGTGGAGTGCGCGCACTTAACTGCTAAGCCACGGGGCCGGCCCACTGGTGATGTTTTAAATGAGAAAATCCTGTGGTTCCTCATATTCCTAACTTGTACAACACTCTTGCTCAAAAAAGGGGCCCTGTTCCTAAAATCTGTCTGCCAGTACGTTTGGCTACAGCTACTGTGGATTCCCAGGCAATATCAATCCTGCTGAATGCTCTGAATGTCCTACCCCGCCTCAACTCCAGTCGGCCTCGATCATTGCAAACAGCTGGCTAAGCCTTTTCTTAATGTCAGGCTTGTTTGGGGCATTATAGGATTTTGTGTGCACTCTGAGGTGTTCAGCCAGTTTAGACTTATAAATGAAGCCCTTACCACAGTCCCCACAGGCAAATGGCCTCTCAGGCCTATGTATGCGCTGGTGCCTAAGCATGTGTCCCTTTTCCCGGAAGTTTTTATCACACTCGGGGCAGTGGAAAGGTCTCTCCCCTGTGTGCAGGCCTTGGTGGCTGAGCAGCTGTGCCTTCAAGCGGAAACTCTTGTTACATTTGGGACACTGGAAAGGCTTCTCCCCCGTGTGTGTCCTGATGTGCTCGACGAGTTTAGACTGCTTAGCAAAGCCTTTGCCACACTCACAAGAGAAGGGCATCTCCCCGCTGTGCAGCAGCTGGTGGGCCTTCATGTCGGCCTTCACGCGATAGCTCTTGTCGCAGTCTGGGCACTGGAAGGGTCTCTCTCCTGTGTGTAGGCGCTGGTGACTAAGCAGCTGCCCCTTCAGGCGGAAGCTCCTGTCGCAGTCGGGGCACTGGAAGGGCCTCTCCCCACTGTGCACGCGAAAGTGCTCGGTGAGCTTGGACTGCCTGGTAAAGCCCTTGCCACACTCCCCACAGGAGAATGGCCTCTCCTTGCTGTGGGTGCGCTGGTGGGCCTTCAGAATGCCCTTCAGGCGGAAGCTCTTGTCACACTCAGGGCACTGGAAAGGCCTCTCCCCGCTGTGCACTCGCAGGTGCTCACGCAGCTTGCACTGGTGGGTGAAGCCTCTGCCACACTCGCTGCAGGAGAAGGGCCTCTCCCCGCCGTGTCGGAGCCGGTGGGCTCTCAACATGCTCTTCAGACGGAAGCTCAGCTCACACTCGGGGCACTGGAAGGGCTTCTCGTCAGTGTGCAGGCGCTGGTGCCTCAGCAGCTGTCCCCTCTGGCGGAAGGTCCTGCCACACTTGGCACACCAGAACGGCCTCTCCCCGCTGTGGACCCGGCCATGTTCCGTGAGTTTACACTGTTTGGTGAACCTCTTGCCACACTTCCTGCAGGAGAACGGCCTCTCCCCACTGTGCACACGCTGGTGCACCTGCAGCAGGCTGCTCAGGTGGAAGCTCTTGTCACACTGTGGGCACTGCAAAGGCTTTTCTCCCGTGTGCACCCTCGCGTGGCTGGCAAGCCTGGACCCGGCAGGGAAGCGCTTGCCGCACTCAGTGCAAACGAAGGGTCTTTCCCCGGCGGGGCCACACTGGAAAGCCTCCTCGACCCCCTTCAGGTGGCAGTGCTCCCCACATGCCAGGCACAGCCCTGGCTTCTCTCCTGAGTGCACACTGGTGAGTTCGGCCTCCTCCTCACCTACTCTACAGGAGACTGGCCCCTCCCCGCTGTGGTGGCCCTGGTGAGCCGGCATGCTGTTCTTCAGGAGAAAGCTTTTGTCACACGTGGGGCATTGGGGAGGCCTCTCCCCCTTGTGCAGGAGGTGGTGGCTGAGAAGGGCCTGCTTGTGACGGAAGCAGATTTTACATTCAGGGCACTGCAGGGGGCTCTTCTCTGCGTGTGTGGCCAGATGTCTAAGCAAATACTGCTTCAGGCGGAAGCTCCTCCCACACTCCTGACACCGGAAGTGCCTCTGTCCCCGAGGGATGCTCCGCTGATGCTGTGGATCAGCTTGTCTGCTGAATTTCTTCCAGGCCCTACGTGGCTGGTCCTTCAAGTGGCTCCTCTGGTGCTTCTCTAAGTGGTTCTTCTTCCAAAAGCTTTCCCCACAGGCAGGGCAAGGGTACTGGGTGGCTTCGCAGGAGGGGATTTCCTGGAAGCCAGGGAGACCGAGTGTTCTGGGACTTGGGATTCTTTCTCTTTGGGTGGGTTCCCTGCAGCTGTGAACTACTGGAATTAGAGCACATGTATCATGTCTGTGTGGGTTTGTGAGGGTGAGGCCTTGGTCAGGCATGAAGGAAATATCTTCACTTTTTCCTAACAAGGGTTCAGAGGAACACTGGCTCTGAAGAGGATCCACCTGGAAATGGCATTTAGTTTTTCCTGAATTCACAGCTTGCTGGCTCCCTGAAACTGAAAACAAAAATTCAGTCAGTCTTCCTGTCTAGGGCATGGCTAAAGGCCTATGTCACCAGTACCGTGATCCATAACAGTGATCTCTGGTGCCCTGGGAACCCAGCCTCCACTGAGCTACACAACCAGAGACATTTCAGTGTGGTTCTACCTCATGACCAGGAATTTGGAGAGAGTCTGCTGAGACTAAACTGAACAGACATATCTTAGAATAATATTGAAAAGAGGAAAATAGAGGTCACAAATGTGGGGCCTAAGCTCTGGAATCAGATTGTCAGGGTTTGAATCCCATCTGTCCACTGTGCAACCTTTGTCAAGCCAAGCTCTCTTGGCTTCAGTTCCTTCTCCTGTAGACAGGGGAACAGTGGTACACAAGACTGCTGTGAGAATTACATGAGTTAATGTGTGTGCAGTGCTTCACATGGGTCTGGCACACTGCATGTAAATGGTCACCAACACAATGACTTCAGGGCACTCAAACTCATCCCACTTTGATATGCAGACATTCTTGATCCAGAAGCGAGGATGGCAGTGTTCCCGACAGATCCTGACGAATACCGCGGTTCCGTGCACTCCACAAGCTGTCCCCGAGACCAGGCAGCAGGCTCTGGCTCTGTGCCTCCTTCCTCACCCCTGTGTCTACAAACCTTTTAAAGAGGTTTCTTGTAAGAATTAATAACAGTTGGTAAAAAGAGTGGAGGAAAACTCCTTTACTCTCCAGAAAGAAGCAGCTAAAAACTAAACAAACTATTGACATGATTTCTTAGAATGATGCTCCCATTCGACTTTCTCACTCTATACTTTTACACTGACTTCTAAGAATCCATAAATCTCAGACTCTCCCAACATGACAACAAACAAAAGAGAGCTAAGTGTTAGGCATGCAAATAGAGATGAGTCTTGTGATGGGAAGGAAGCAATTTTGGTCACAAGGATTTGGATAAGAAGGGTCTGATTCCCCCTCACCTTCTACTAAGAATAGCTCATGTTTACTGAGCTCTTACTGTGGGCCAGGGTTCATTTTAACACTTTACATATGTTAACCCATTGAATCCTATAATGTAGGTACTTTTATTATCTTTATTTTATAGGTCAGGAAATTGAAATACTGAGAGGTTGAATAACTTGCCCAACATCACCCAGAAGAGGCCAGATCCAGACTCAGGCTCCAGAACCCACACTCCCAACTGCTAGGTTTTACTGCATTTCTCTAGAATATACCAGATGTCAAGCCTCAGCCCAGCCAAACAGGAAGACAAGGTCAGAGAACTGGAACTAAGAAACCTGAATGTGACACCTTAAGGACAGGACCCTGATTTCTTAATACTTACCCCAAAACAGCTGTCCCTCAATAACCGGATCAAAATGCAAATCAGCAGAAGAGCAAATTATGTTTCCTGATTTCTGTGATTCTCCCCAATTCCTGAAGAGCTCTCTCCCCTGTTCCATCCACGATATTAGTTCTGGTTTGGGAAGTCCATCATCTGTACAGAGAAATCAGACATGGCAGTTTGGTTTCGTGGAGCAGTAAATTTAAAGCACACTGAGTTGTTTTTAAATTTCTCCAAGTTTACTCCTGGGACAATGTATGAGAAGAGATATTAAAAAATAGATTATAGGTTTATACCAAGAGGAGCAAGACTGCCCACACATCATAGAGGTGCTTCCTAATCTGTCTGGACCTGTCAGATCAGTTGTGCTGTTTTAATTCTGTCTTCATCCCCATATATCTAACAATGCTGTAGTCTGTCATGAGTTTCCTAAAACTCACTAGTTGTGTGCTTTGAGTATGGTGGGACAACCTTGAGATGACCACGGGAAGAGGGGGTACACAAAAATAAGAACTCGAATGACTGTCCTAGGAAATTTCAAAGAAGGTGGCTCCAGCTAAAATATTCCCCACAGGACTTCTGATGACAGTGCTAATGCCAACCTAAAACCTGGCTGAGTTCCGCTACAACAGACGGGCCGCAATGCGTGAACGGAACAAGAGAAAACAGTTACAAGATTCTCTAATACATGACCCCGTTCCCCTGTAAGAAACGTCTACTCTATGTATTTTCATGGAAAACTCTCTTTCAATTATATATATATATTTAACAGAACCAAAAGTATGCTTCATAGATTGCTACAGGGAGATTAGTGGATGGTCTAGATCAGAGAAAGAAGATAAGCTGGGCAATGCCTCAGAGATAAAGTGTCAGAGTGGCATAGAAGATGTGGAGACTGATCACACTGTTCCAGATTCCTCCTTAGACCTCTGATGTCTGACTTCAACCCCCAAAGAATTCTAAAGCTGCTCTCATGAAAAAAAGAATCACCCTTTTATTTAAATCCATACACCTATTTTTAATCTTCATCTGAGTGGAACTCCCAGCATCTTTTAAAATAAAAGTATTTTTACAAAAATAAATTTAAGAAAATAATTCCATTTACAATAATATCAAAAAGAATAAAATACTTAGGAAGAAATTTAATAAGAGAAATTGCAAGACTCATACAATAAAAACTATAAAATATTGTTGAAAGAAATTTTAAAAGTCTTAAATAAATGGAAAGATACTCCATGTTCATGAATTAGAAGACTTAATATTGTTAAGATGACAATATTCCCCAAATCCCATCTGTTTTTTTGTGTGCAGAAATTGATGAGCTGATCCTAAAAGCAATGGTAATCAAAACAGTGAGGTACAGGCATAAGGACAGACATATCGATCAATGAAACAGAATTGAGAATCCAGAAATAAACTCTTATATTAATGGTCAATTGATTTTCCAAAAGGGTGCCAAGAGAATTCAATGGGGAAAAGAATAGTCTTTTTTGTGTGTGAGGAAGGTCAGCCCTGAGCTAACACCCAATACCAATCTTCCTCTCTTTCTGCTGAGGAAGACTGGCCCTGAGCTAACATCCGTGCCCATCTTCCTCCACTTTATATGGGACACCACCACAGCATGGCTTGACAATTGGTGTGTTGGTGCACGCCCGGGATCTGAACCTGCGAACCCTGGGCTGCCAAAGCAGAGCGCGCGCACTTAACCGCTTGCGCCATCGGACCAGCCCCAAGAATAGTCTTTTCAACAAATGGTGTTGGGACGACTGGACACCAATATGCAAAAGAAGTTGGAACCCTAACTCACACCATATACAAAAATTAACCCAAAATGGATCAAAGACCTAAATGTAAGTGCTAAAACTATAAAACTCTTAGAAGAAACATACGAGTGAATCTTTGTGACTTTGGATTAGGCAATGGTTTCTTAAATATGACACCAAAAGCTCAAGCAACAAAAGAAAAAATAAATTGGACTTCATCAACATTAAAACCTTTTGTGCTTCAAAAGACACCATCAAGAAAGGAACAGACAACCCACAGAATGGGAGAAAATATCTGCAAATCATATACCTGATAAGGGTCCAGTATCCAGAATAAATACAGAGCCTTTATAACTCAACAATAAAAAGACAAATAGCGCAATTTAAAAATGGGCAAAGTATTTGAATGGACATTTCTCCAAAGAAGATATACAAATGAAAAGATGCTCAACGTGATTAGCCTTAAGGAAATGCAAATCAAAACCATAATGATATACCACTTCACATCCATTTGATCTTGATGCTTGGAACACTCTTTTTGGGTGGCACAGGGTTAATGACATAGGATTATACTTCTTTCTCTATAGATTCAATTACTTTAATTGGTTCTTCAGTAACAATGAAGATAATGTAATGTCTTGGATTACATGTTTTAGAAACACTCTATAGATAGAGCCTGGAAAATTTAATTACGATAATGGAACAGAATATAAGTATTAGAAACCCTGCAATATAAAGGAAGTGGTATGGCTGTCCAGAGCTGGCAGGAGAGGTGGAGGGAAGTACAGCAGAACTAATTACCTTATCTTTATATACTGAAGGAGTCAAGAGATACACTATAAAGTTGATGGAACAAGATCTAGAAGTTTACTGTTTAAATTATAAATGTAGCCAATAGAGACCTGAAAATAACTATCAAAATTTGGGGAGAAGGGAAAAAAGGAGATAGAAGAGGGATAGCATAAGTGAGCTGCCTCATTTTTCATAGTAATGAGTTAATTAATGCTAACTAAACTTAATAAATCAAGAAATAGAGGTGTAAGCATTACAGTTAATTGGAGGAAACCACAGTAAGAATGAAAACAGAAATGGTTAAAAATGGTTGCCTCTGGGGATTTAACTGAGTGAGGGGGTGAGAAGGAAGCAAGAGACTTTTATCACTCATTTGATGCTTCTCTGAACGGACTGATTTTTTAAAACCATATATGGTAATAAAATAACTTGTAAAGACAAAGTAAGCAGAAAGACCAGAATACCCCCTACCATAACCACGCAGAGACAGCTGCTATTAAACATCTCAGCGTTTGGCCTTCCAAAATCTCACTGCAAGGAAAATAGTGTTAGCTTTTCTCAGGCATGTGGACACCAGTGTAAAAGGTGACAGGTAGGGACATCCTAGGTTACAGATATACAGGGTACTTTAGGGATTTGAGCTAGGCTTGTGCCTGTGTGGGACATCGTGGCCACCTGAGAGTATGCAGTGACCAAAAGCCCAGATAAATATGTATTTAGTCACCTCATCCACCTTACATTACAAGCCATCTCAACCATTCTCATGTAACAAGGTCTACCCTTGAGTAATAATCAGCAACACTTAACAGAAGTATTAACAAAAGAATATGGGGTAAAAATGCCTTTCTGTGTTAATTTCTGAGAAATCTGGCCACCTGACAAACAGGAGCAAGTGACTGAGACCTCATACAGGACCGAGTTCCACAATGTCGAATATTTCTTACCTAGAGAAACTAGAATCTCATAATTGGTTCTCATCACATGCTTGTAAAGCTCCTTCTGCCATGCCTCTAGCTTCTGCCATTCTTGCTCCGAGAAATAAACGGCAACATCCTCAAAAGTCAGAGGTAACTGAAATTACAGACATAATATATAGTCAAGATGGCTTCAAAATGACTCCAGCTCCTTCTCGTCAATTTAAAAGCTTTCTGTAGTGGACACTGTTTTTGTCTGTTGGGCAGCTTCTCCCTTGGGAACTGCTCCTTCCTCTACTCTAATCATGCGGTTCTGTGGTTAACCACTACAACTCCGACATGTTTCTTTATGCTTGTTCAAACTATATATGCATATGCACGTGTATAGTATGGAACTTTTTCTTTCTCTTTTAAACAAAAATGGGAACGAATCACTATGTAACTTCATTCACTTAATATGTCATGGACATCTTTCTAGATTAATATATATATGCAAAATCTTTTTTTGTAAATTGCATTATAGTCCATGGTTAGATATACCCCACTGATGAGAGATACATTGTTTCCATTTCCTTTATAAATTACAAACAATGCTCTGATATGATTCCTTATATATCAGTGCTTTTACCTCTGTAGGATGAAGTCTAAAAAGAACTACTAAATCAAAGGGTATAAACATCTCCAGTTTAACACATACCACCATACTGCCTTCCAAAAAGAATCCAGCACTTTGACCTTTGCTAATAAGATGAGACTTCTTTACACTTTTGCCAGCACAGTATGTTCTTAAACCTTTTTTTCGCCAATATGATGGGTAAAAAATTGTATTTCATTGTTTTAATTTGCATAAATTTGTGAGGCTTAGCATCTGTTTCATACTGTTTGCAGGGGCGATTTCCCCACATCTTTGTGCATGCCTGTTCACATCCTTTGCTCAGCATTCTAGCGGGCTCTTATAATCTGAATGAACTTTCTTATATTAGGGTTAATAATCCTTTGAGTGACTAGCAAACGTTTTCTCCCAGTTTATCATTTGTATTTTGACTTTAAGTTCTGCCAAATAGAGCATTTTGACCCTTTTATTTAGGTAAATCTACTAATCTTTTCCATGTTTCCAGCTTTTTCTTTCATTTTAAGTGTTCCCCACATCAGAAAGTTATACAAATATTCTAATTTTTTTTTTAGATTTGCAATTTAATTCTATAGATGAGATTGGCATCTTTATTTACATACATATGGAGAGCCAATCACACACTACTAAATACACCAGTCTTTCTCCTTAGATTTAAATGCCAACCTTCAACCTTTGCATACATTAGATTTTCATATATATGTGAATCTATATATTCTGTTACATTATCTACCTGTACCTGTCTACAGTACCTATGCAGTGTTGTAAAACTGGAGAGCAAGTCTTCCTCCCTCCCCCTATTCTTTTCCAAGCTACTATTGTAAATCCCTGGATATTTCTTCTTCCTTATAAACTCCAAAATCATTTTGTGAAGGAAAAAGAAAAAGTGCACTGGGATCTAGTTTGAATTGCATTAAATTGATATATGTATTTAGGAAAGAATGACCTCATCTAGGAACATGTTCTACCACTCCATTTATTTGGTATTGCTTGCTAACCTTTAATAAACAATGATTTTCTTCATAAATGTTCTGAATCTTTTTTATTAACTTCATTTCTGGTATTCTGTGGTTTTTCCAACAATTGTAAATGGGACTATCCTTGCCACTTCAAATCATTATTACTGATATTAAAGAAAAAATTTATTGATTTTTGTAAACTTATTTTGTATCCAACTAAAATACCATATGTTTATCAATTCTAATAGTATTAAGGTTTTGGTGGGATACAATCATAATTTTCAAATAAAGATAATTTCCCCACCTCTTCTCAAAGTACACTGCTTTTCTCTTATATTACTATACTTATTAGAACCTCTTTTGTGGCTTCAGGGTTTAGCATCTTGATTTGGAAGACTTTTCCTATTCTAAGATTGTAAAAGATATTCTGAATTCTTTATAACGTTTTTATAGCTTTATTAGAATGAGACCTTTATCGATCTGAACTTATTTCTGTGTATCATAACAAGAAAGGACATAATTCTTTCTCCAAACAGATATTCAACTGTCACAAAACTTATTGAAAAGTCTGTTTTTTTTACCATTGATTTGGTATCGTTTTTTCATAAACTAGTTTTCTATTTATACTTGGGTATATTTTTGTAATTTTATTTATTTATTTATTTTTCCCCCAAAGCCCCAGTAGATAGTTGTATGTCATAGTTGCACATCCTTCTAGTTGCTGTATGTGGGACTCGCCCTCAGCATGGCCGGAGAAGCGGTGCGTCGGTGCGCGCCGGGGATCTGAACCCGGTCCGCCAGCAGCCGAGCGCGCGCACTTAACCACTAAGCCACAGGGCCGGCCCTACTTGGGTATATTTTTGTTCCACTGCTGAATTTGCCTATTCTTGTTCCAATACTGCACTAATTCTTACAGTTTTATCAAATGTTTTGCTATTTAAGAGAGCATGGCCATCCACTGGGAGTATTTTTTACAGGAAATTGTCTTGACTTTTCTTGTCTATTTTCTCTTCTACATAAATAGGAAAACTATCTTGTCAAATTTATACAAATTCTATTTGGATTCTGATAGGAATATACTGACTATATGGATTAATTTTGGGAGAACTGGATCTCTAAAACATAGGCTCTTCTCACCCAGAAACATATATATCTTTCATTTATCTAGACATTTTTACGTGTTAGTAAAATTTATAGTGTTCTTCATATAGATCTTATATAATTCTTGATAGGTTCATTCCTATGGATTTTAGAGTTTTAGTTGCTATTATGTTTGAGGGGCTTTTTTTCCCCGTTAAATTTTCTAATTATGAAAGCTCGGGAAGCTGATTTTTATGTTTATTCTGTAAATGAATTCCCTTGTTGGCTAACACTTTCAGTTGGTTACCGTGGAGTTTCTATGTAAAGAATGAAATCTGCAAATAACACTTAACTATTTAAGCCTATCATTTCTTATTTTTCTTATCTTATTGCACTGGCTGGAATGATGCTGAATAACAGTGATGGTAGCATGCATCTGTCTTATTCTTTAAAGGAAATGCTTCTAATGCTTTACCTTTACAAGTAATGTTTTTGGTTTCCTTTAACTTATTAACCAAGATGCCTCTTATCCAGAGGACACTAACTTATCAAGAATTGGTTTTGAATTTCACTGCTTGTTAAAAAAGTACATTAGGAAAAAATAACACACGCAACTGTGTTTAAATTGTTTAACATTTTTATTATTGTGGTTTACTTGTATAAACTGAACACTTTCTGAGGTTCATAACTAGAAATAATTATATATTTGTTAGTTTAAAATACTCTAATTACATTAAGTATACATTCTATCTTTATTGAAATATTTTCTTTAAATCAGTTTTAACTCCAACTGTTATTGCCATATCTGTTTATCTCCTATGGGTATTAAAGGACAGCTTGTTTGAACTTTTAGTTTTAATTTATATTCATCTTTTTCTTGTCTTCAATATGAAACTTAGAGTTAAGTTTTTAAAATTGATTCCTTTATATTTAAATCAGAAATTCATTATTTTAAGTTTAAGGAAATACAGTCATTTCTGCTATAACATTTTTAAAATGTGAATTTGTTCCAATGTGACTGATATGTTAATATATCACAAAATTTCACATTTGCTTATATGCAATTTTGTCTATGAGAAACAATAGGTCAGTTCTAAATCAGGGCAATTTTAGCGCCCCAAGGACATCTGGTGATGTCTAGAGGCATTTCTGCATGACTGGGTGGAGGTTGCTACTGGCATCTAGTGGGTAGAGGTCACAGATGCTGATAAACATCCTACAAGGCACAAGACAGCCCCCCACAACACAAAATTATCCAGTATAAAATGTCAATAGTGGCAAGGGTAAGAAACGTTTTGCTAGGTGAATGAAGAGAACTGAGATGAGTAGGAATATATAAAATGTACATATGCACACCCTTCAAGCATCTACCAGCTGCCAAGATCACCCCATGTTATGAGCCCTACCTACCCACATCTGTGTTAACATTCTTCCATCTGGCTTCAGATAACGTTCCTTCAACTACTTCACACAACTCACACACTCTACTACTCCTTACACTCACTTCCACAAGCAAATTTCAGGTAGTTTTTAAGGTAATTTATTTCTTAATAATTTAACATGCATAAAACCGTGCTGTTTTTATTAGGTTCCTATCTTTTTTTTTTAACATGTCACTGACAAACTTTTTGAGTGTTGTGTGCCTAACACCATTTCTCCCATAAGCTGTGGTTTTTATTGCATGATTTTGCATTGCACTGTGAGGTTTAGAAATGCGTGATATATTATAAGAGAACTGAATGTTTTATTTGTGTTAAACATACTTATTTTCTTCTCTCTGATTCATTCCTTAATTTTTTTATTTTTATTTTTTTAAACAGTTTTTATTTATTTATTTTTTGTGAGGAAGATCAGCCCTGAGATAACATCCATGCCAATCCTCCTCTTTTCACTGAGGAAGACCGGCTCTGAGCTAACATCTATTGCGAATCCTCCTCCTCCTTTTTTTTTTTTCCCCTAAAGCCCCAGTAGATAGTTGTATGTCATAGTTGCACATCCTTCTAGTTGCTGTATGTGGGACGTGGCCTCAGCATGGCCAGAGAAGTGGTGCGTCAGTGCGCCCGGATCTGAACCCGGGCCGCCAGTAGCGGAGCCCGCGCACTTAACCGCTAAGCCACGGGGCCGGCCCTCATTCCTTACTTTTAAATGGTTTCTAAAAACACTCAAAAAGCCTTCATTGTTTATTACTTTAATTTTCAGAGGTTTAAAAAATCAAGAAAAATTACAGAGACTATTATAACAAGCATCCTAGTATTTATCACTAATTTAAAAAATTTAACATTTTTTCTTCAGATTTCCTTTTAATGGAATAGAATATGACAGATAAAACTCAAGTCCCCATGGTTCGCTCTTCAATATTGTTCTTATATTCAGTACTATTCTCCTTCCGAGAAGCAAACATTATGATGAATGTGGTAACTTTTCAGTTCATGTTTTTAATTTTTTAATACACACACATATGTATAAATAATATATAGCATTGCTTTCTCTTTTATAAACAAATTTGCCTTTTACACACAAATGGCTTATTATACTGCAACTTGCATTTTTCATTCAACATTTTGAGATCTGTCCATGTTGATTTATATGGAACTGATTTATTTTAATTTTGTCTAGCATTCCACTGAGTATGTCATAATTTTTAATCTGTTCTTTTATCCACTGACCATTTGTTTTCAGTTCTGTGAATTACTTGTTTATATCTTTTGCTTATATTTTTACAGGGTCACTTGTCCTTTCATTTTAAGGATTTTTGTATATAATTTATATATATATATTTTTGTGTGTGTGTGTGAGAAAGATCAGCCCTGAGCTAACATCCGATGCCAATCCTCCTCTTTCTGCTGAGGAAGATCGGCCCTCAGCTAACATCTGTGCCCATCTTCCTCTACTTTATATGGGACACCACCACAGCATGGTTTGGCAAGCGGTGCCTCGGTGTGTGCACGGGATCCGAACCTGCAAACCCCGGAGTGCTGAAGCAGAGCACGTGCACTTAACAGCTTGCGCCACCGGGCCAGCCCCTATAATTTGTATATTGATTAATTATTAACTACATTAGGTTACAAATACTTTCTCCTAGTGTGTCTTTTAATTTTATTTATGCTGTCTTATATTGTACATAAACTTTCAACTTGGATACAAATACATCAACTTTTCCTTAGGTCATTTCGCTTTTTGTATTTTAAGAAATTTTTTTCTACACTGTGGTTACAAAGATTCTACATTTTCTTCCAAAAGGCTGAAGTTTTATTTTTCATCTTTAGATTTTTAATTTATCTGGACTGCGATGGTATACTGTAGTGATCTACCTTAATGATTTTTAACTCATCTGAAATGTAATGGTATACAGTGATCTACTTTGATGTTTTTTCCCAAATGGAAATGTCAACTGTCCCAACACCACTTTTGAAGGTCTCTGTATTAGTCTCCTATGGCTGCTGTAACAAAGTAACACAAACTGAGTGGCTTAAAACAATAAAAGTTTATTCTCTCACAGCTCTGGTGGTTAGAAGTCTGAAATCAAGGTGTCAGCAGGGCCATGCTCTTTCTGAAGCCTCTAGAGGAAAATTTGTTTCATGCCTTTCCTTTAGCTTCTGGTGGTGGCTGTTGATCCTTGGCATTCCTTGCCTTGATGCTGCATAACTCCAATCTCTGCCTCCGCTGTCACAGGGCATGCTCCCTTTGTGTGTCTGTGTCTCTTCCCCTCTTCTTATAAAGACACCAGTCATATTGGATTAAGAACCTACCCTACTCCAGTATGATCTCACCTTAACCAATTACATCTGCAACAACCCTACTTCTAAATAAGGTCACAATCTGAGGTTCCAGGAAGGACTTGAATTTTGGGGAGACACTATTCAACCCAGTCCAGTCTGCTTCTGGGTCCTCTTTTGGTTTCCATTGCTCTATGTGTCTATTCCTGCACAAAACAGCACCGTATTAATTCTACAGATTTATGGTAAGTTTTATCATCTGCTAGGGCAATTCCCTCTTCTTTGTTTTTTCAGAATTATACTTTTGACCTTTATTTTTCCAAATGAAATTTATAATCTGTTTATCTAAATTCACAAAAATCTTACTGCCATTTTGATGAAACTGCAGTAAACTTATATATTAATTTGGAAGAAAAGTATCATCTATATTTAGTCTTCCCATCTATGGGCATGGTATGTCTCCCGTTTTACTTATAATTTCTATATAGAGATGTTGCATATCTTTTGTATTTAATTCTAGGAATTATGTTTTATGTTGAGATTGTTGATATTTTTATAGTACTGATCTCATGAATTCATTTAGTAATCAGCAAAAATGCTCAATATGAAAGTTTATGAGATATAGAAAAACATTATAAAAATAATGGCCACTCCCTCTAAACCTCAACTTCAACAAAACACTAAATAATCAAATAATGTGTACTCTTCTTAGGTTTTTAAATCCTCTTCTATTCCTTCAACGTGTCTTCCTTCCTTCCTACACTCAACACAAACTTGAACAGTTAGCGGCTCAATTCTGACACATAAGCACCTGCCAAACCTCATTTCAACCAATCAGAATCTGAAATCTTTTAAAACACTTGTTCTGAATTCAGTAACTATGACGTAAAGCTGCTTACACTCTAACACCATCGCCGGCCCCAGACCCACGTCGATCTTTCCCGTGTCCGCCCCCGGCCCAGGATCGGCCCGGTCCACGCTCGGCTTTGTTCAGGGGTTTGGCCACGGACGAGCCCCACGAGCGGCGGTCACCGGCTCCGTTCAGGGCTCAGACCCTACACCCAGAGCCTAACGCGACCCCAAACTCCGCCCCACGCGTCCGCCACCGCCCCGCTAGGATCCCAGGATGCGGCCGGCCACAAGCACTCGAAGACCCCCGAGGCCCGAGCGGGACATCCGCGCGGGGGACGCCCTCTTACCGGAGGCGGCTCGCCCATGGCCCTCCGCAGTCCTGCCCGGCCCCG